CTCTCAACATTCTGACAGCTCCTTGGCCATTCGCAATGTGGGGCATTTACATGATTGGAGAGATCAAGCCTACAACATCCAATGGACATCGCTTCATCCTGGTGGCTATCGATTACTTCACCAAGTGGGTCGAAGCAGCTTCCTACGCCTCTGTTACAAAGAATGTGGTTGCCCGCTTCATCAAACAAAATCTCATATGCTGGTATGGTATCCTCGTCAGGATCATCACAGACAACGGTACAAATTTGAATAACACTATGTTCACCGCTCTGTGCGAGTGGTTCAAGATTTATCATCACAATTCATCTCCCTATCGGCCAAAGATGAATGGTGTTGTTGAAGCCGCGAACAAAAATATCAAGAAGATCATTCAAAAGATGACAGTCACCTATAAGAACTGGAATGAGATGTTACCGTTTGCTCTGCATGGATATCGTACCACGACGCATACTTCAACAGGGGCAACCCCCTTTTCTCTGGTATATGGCATGGAAGCTGTTCTACCTATGGAAGTTCAGATTCCTTCCTTAAGGATTATGAAGGATGCCAGTTTAAGTGAAGACGATTGGATTCAGACCAGACATGGTCAACTTAATTTGATCGACGAGAAACGATTTACTGCTGTTTGTCATGGTCAGACGTACCAGAAACGGATGATCAAGGCTTTCAACAAGAAAGTCAGACGTCAGGTATATCAAGTCGGAGATCTTGTAATCAAGCGGATCATCTTGCCGCAAAGTGATCCCAGGGGCAAGTGGACTTCTACTTACGAAGGACCATTTGTGATCAAGAGCATATTTTCCGGTGGGGCAATGATTTTGACCACCATGGATGGCGACGACTTGCCGCACCCTACAAACGCAGACACAGTCAAAAGATACTACACATAAATCGACCCGGCAAGTTGAAAACCCGAAAGGGCGACTTTAGCAAAAATGGGCATCCCGGTGAATCGAAAACCTGAAAGGGCGGTTCAGGTAAAAATTAGGGATAAACAAAAAAAAAATCTGTACACCCGGCAAGTTGAAAACCCGAAAGGGCGACTTGGGCAAAAAAGGGTTTCCCGGTGGACTGAAAACCCGAAAGGGCGGTCCAGGTAAAAGTTATGGAATTAAAGCGTATGACTATGTCTCGTCGGATCACTTTAAGGACAATCTCTTCACCAACAAGCTCCATGCTTCTGATCAATCCAATCATCGGCGGACGAAGCAGCGAATGGACAAGATACTCAGAGTTGTGAAGGCTATAGCAGAATGGGAACCCCATGGAATTGTTACACATAGCCATCTTTCTTTTGTATAAAATTTTTCTCAATTTTACGACAACATTCTCTTACTAGGATGTCTGTCTCCTTTGTACAAAGATACTTACAAAAGTTAATACAAAAATACTTCAAAGTGCAAAAATTTGCTTGCCTTTCCTTTCCTTTTACACTTATGTTTTATTTGAAAACGTCCAATGTTTTGTTAAATAGGCATATGCATTTGAATATAATCACTGCTTACAAATAAAATAAAATTGAGAAAGGATAATTACTGGTAGATTGAAAGGGTAGGAAGACGTCTTTAGGCTATTCCAGAAGAAATCCCCTGTAGTACATCATTCAGCTCCTCAACAAAGCTAAAACCTTGGAGTATATTTCCCCAGCGGAGTTAAATTTCTAGACCCCCAGCGGAGCCAGTGTATTCTAAACCTTATTCCCCAGCGGAGTTAAGTTTCAAAATTCCCATCAAAGTTAAGTCTCTAAACTCCCGATCCCCGGTGGAGCCCAAAAACCCTGAAATACCTATCCCCCAGCGGAGCTAGAATATTCTAAACCTTCTTCCCCAGTGAAGTCAAATTTCCAACTATCAGTCCCCAGCGAGAACTATTCGGCTTTCCCTAACTTCCCCGGTAGATTGGCATACAACCCAAGCTCTTGATTTCCCCAACCGAGTAAACACTCTCCCCATAGAGTTTATTTCCCAACAAAACAAAGATTCTACTTCCTATTTCTCCATTCAAATCCTCCCAGGTTTTAATTCCCCAGTAGAGATTTTTCATAGTTTTCCTTATTTCCCAGGAAGGTCATGAAGGATTCTCATTCCCCGCAGAAGTTGTCAAAGCTCTTGTTAAATCCACACAAGTCACCAAGGATTTTCAATCCCCAGCAGTGGTCCCGGGATTTCTCATTCTCAACAATCAAAGATCTTTAATCCCCAAGCAGTCAGCAAGGATTTCTCATCTTCAATAATCAAAGATTTTGGAATCCCTAGCATCGGTCAAGGATTCACTTTCCCCGACAGCAGTCAAGGATTTCATTATCTCCAGTTATCAAGGATTTATTTTCCCCAGCAAGACAGCTACTCAACTTACATGCACATCCATTACATTCATATATCATAAACATTGATGGAACACGTTTCATTGCATCATACTGAAACAACCGGCTGAAAATCATCAAACAATGAAGTCGCCATCGAACGTCTTTTATCCCACATGTAGGGAAAGGTAAACATCGAGAAAACCTGAGGAAGGGAGAAGTCACGATCTTACGACCGAGAGATTGGGTAAGGGAGTCTGTTACGCGAGGGGAAGGTATTAGCACCCCACACGCCCGTAGTACTCTCGGATATCCACTCTTGTTATCTATCTTATGGGTGTGTTCAATCTATGCTTACTGTTTATTACTGCTAAAGGGAAAATGCATGCAAAAGAAAGGGGAAAAGAATGTAGGGAAAAGAAAAAGTTGTGCTCGTTCGGGCCCTACCCCGATGCCTACGTATCCCTTTTAAGGAATCAGAGCAGCCGTAGTTCGGCTTATGTGTTTTTGTTTGTTTGTATTTTCTTTAACGAACAGTATTAATCTCGCCTTCTGCCGCAACTTGACCTTTGGAGATTTACGCGTCAGCACAGAAGTGAATTAATACGCTCTTTTGAAAAGGGTTTGAAAGAAAGGCCCGAGGGCAAAAAGATTTTTATGTTTGTTGGTGTTTTTGCTTGTAGATAATAGCTAGTTACCCTCAAGAGAGAGATTTTAGCCATTTCTCTACTTATTCATGAAATGAGTCTTTGAGACTTAAACCACACCAAAGCTTAGAATAAGAGATCAATAAGGTCGAGAGAGACCCGCTTATCGTCTCACATACTTAACGAAGATATGATTCTCGTCAGTAAATTTTTTTGTATTTTTGAAGTTTACGAGAAAAAGAAGTTTTTGTTTTTAAATGCATATGCGAAAAGAAAAAAAGAAAAGTCACAGGGAGACTAACCTATTTCTAAACCTAAAGTCATCATACCATGCAATCTATGGGAAGTGATAAATGTGGGGTGAGAGTGGAAATAAAATATACCAAACGAGTACTAGCTCGTAGAGCAAAGTAAAAAAGCAAAGAAACTCGATGATCTCACGAGCTGCTAGCATCAACAAAGAAAAGAATTAGAAATCCAATGCTCGGAATAAGTGTTGAAGCATCATCGATGTGAAAATAAATCACAATCGAAATTTCAAGCGTATCCGCATACCGCATAATAAACCTGCATAAGATTTAAATCTCAACAAACAAAGGTGAATCATGAATTTCGAATAATCGGATAACCACGAATTAATTCCTAAAAATCAAAATAAGAAAAAAAATCTAACAAATTTTACTGATTTTTATTATTTTTATTTTGTGAAGAAAATTAAAACAAGTCTAAGCTATAATCAAAATTGTTCAAAAGAAATTGCAAATAGTAAGAAACAACCCAGGGGGTGCAGTATGGGAACATGAGATATGATCTAGCAAACAGGCGCTGAAGGCCCATCAATATAGTCCAAACAATTATTTATGTCTCACCAACATCAAAAATGCAACAAAAAAAATTGCATATTGGACTACATTTTGGGTGAGTTTCGGTCCACTTACTTCACAAACAAATCACTAACAGCCTCCCTATTATTCATATTACGTTTTTATTGATTATAACAAAAAAAAAACAATCAAATAACAAAATTTTAGGGAATTAGGTTAAGTTTGGGTGACGGTTCAAATCTTCGAACACAGGCTCCCTTTGTTTCTGACTCTCAACGGCGCGTCCTCCCCAATCGTCCTCTTCTCCGATCCCTCAACACCAATGGTGCCGCAACCTCCTTCTCAGACGATTCATTTTTCCATCATAAGACAGCCCAACGCCACCACAACTCCTCTCTCTTTCATCGGTTCAACTCCCTTCCTCATAAACTTCACACCGAATCGCGAATAGAGAAAATATGATATAGTGAAATTGATGAAGAAATAGAGAGAAGTTGAGGCTTACCAGCCAGAATACAATCTGGGGAAAGTGATTATCGGCGAGATTATTTGACTTCAGGTACGTACTTTCTATAACTCCGGTTGCGCGAACTATTCTTCCGCTCTTCTTCTTCTTTCTTTTTTCTTGCGTTTCTTTGTGACTTCCAAGTGCGTGTATTGATGAGCATTGATAGGAAGGAGCATAGGGTTGTTGCGGTTGTCGTTGTGAGTTGTGTTTGAGTGAGATCGTAGGAGTGTGATTTGAGTTTACAGAGAGATGATTTGATGAAGATGAAGCAGGGTTTCAGAAGTAAGTAAAAATGAAGAGTGGCTTGAAGGGTGAAGAGTATTGGTTAGAGAAGAAAGAGAGAGAATTCCGAAAAATTTATGAGTTCTGGGTGAAAAATGAAGCGTGTTGATGTAAGAGGATAGAAAAAAATGGTGGAGAGAGGATGAAGTTTGAAACTGGAAAAGAGAAAGTATCGTCTTCTGAAACTTGGAGGGAGTTTTGGATTATATAGGTAGTTGAGGGAGATGGAAACGGTTAGAGACGTGAAGATCTGAGCCGTTGAATCAAATCAGTCAGTTACAAGATGAACGGTCAGATTTTAAGCAGTTAGAACTGTTAACTTCTATTGGTTCTGTTAATAACTGCCAGTGAAATTTCTCTTAGAAGTTAGGTATGTTAGATGTTAGGAACAAGTCAGTTGGAAGCTAAAAACTACTGTTAGAGTTAGTTTTCTAAATTCAGTAACTTGGTTTAGCTGGAGGCATTTCGGATAATGCTCCTAACAGTACAGGCATAGTAATAAGTTTAATCCATGGTTTATCAGGGAAGGCTATGTGTGCTAGCCAAACAACTAAAGGAGCAATAGCACCAGCCAAGAAAAACCAGTTGATGGCTGAGTAGTGTCCTAGATTTCCAAACATTCTGCGAGGCCCTATCAAACCCCATATGACAGATGCATCATAGAATACATGATCACCTGGGCAAGTCCATGGGCTTCCTGGTGGAAGCAATTCCCTATGGCATATATTTGGAATTGTTTCTATTAGCCACCATGCTGTTAATAGATGCACAATTGCAGCTATTATTGTGCCCAGTACCTGTGCCAAGAACATTGCTCTAGGAGGAATCTTCATGTAATGGCCAAGCTTAAAATCTTGCAAAAAGAAAATGGCCTGTTTCATACTCATGTTCCCATACACTTTAAACAACATGACTGCAATAGGATAACCAGGGTAGATGTATCCAATTATGTACTCTGTTATCACATTCAAAGCAGGTGCCTGATTTGTCGTAGCTCTGATTATTCCAACAGGAAGAGTAAACGATATAGCAACAGCACATGCTAACATCACACCCCACCATGGTAGCTGGAGTTGATCGTTGTAATACTCACACACAAATGTAGCTGCCGTAATGCTGAACAAAAGAATGCATAAAAACCACCATTCAGGAACTTGTTTATAATTTTTTCTCATGATCTTCGTGTGTATATCTATCTTCTTCCCTTGAAACGCAGACTTACTCAGCTGCAATATATCGCTTCCATGGAAAAGCAATACATGAACAAGAGTTGCAGAAAGGCAAGCAAAACCAATACCATATGACATAGCAAACATGGTGCTAAGATAAAGAGGGCCCTGGCGTTGATAAGCTTCCAAATCAAGGTGGAAGTTAGAGTCAGTAATAGCCGAGATGTTATATTTTTGACCATCAGAGCTGAACAAGCCATCTGAAAAGATGGGAAATCTTCTTGCATGGTAAAGATTAAGGGTATAAGCAGTAGGAACAATGAGATACATGAAAATGGCAAAACCAGCAGCAATGTTAGCAGTAGCAAACCATGGACTAGCCAAAGGGGTACCAAGATAAGAACATATACTGGACCAATCAAATCCAACAGCTCCAAGTCCAAGACCATTTAACCCTGAACCTAACTGGTGTGCTATATCTAAATTGGGAAACACCCAACATACCCAAGAGAGTGATGTTAGCATTGGGAACAAGTAGCCTGGAAACACATAATATGCAAAACTGCAAATAAATGTTATAAGGAAGAACTGGTTTCGTGTTAACCCTCCCTTTTGTCTCTCCTCTGTTTCGTGCAGTGCCCTGATGTTTCTTGACATAGATTTAGCAACAAGAGTATGAACAAAAGTAGCTGCAATTGGAAATGTGTGATTATGGTTATTGTTGGACATTGTTCCGAAGCTGAATTTGATTTTCCTTTCAATTGCAGTTAGTTTGAATGATGTGGACCTATTCTCTGCCAAAGTTAAGGTATGCAGGTTGTTCCATATATGTGTTTAGCATTTGGTTTGGGTTAATTAATGGTTTTTCATGTGTCGAATAATTTGTATGAGCATAGGATATTTTGGCATGATTGCTTGTATTGACTTGGATTTTTTTTGTATGAATGTGCAGGTCATGAACTGAAGATGAAGAACTTTGGCATGGCATGGAATTAGAAGTTTACTCATGGAATTTTAGCACCTTTAGGACTAAAGAATTTTGTTCAAGTGTATTTTGTAACAGTTTTTTTTCTTTGTAGAATATTGGTGTAATGGGATTGTAATGATTTTATATGAATGTTTTGTTTTGATGAACTTGAAATTTATAGTGTGAATTGTAAATGACCTTTGAGCTTGAAATGTTGGGTGATGAATTTTAAGGATGGAGTTTAAATGACAAAGTCTTGAAAAAATGCTTGAAGACATGAAAGCATCAAATTTTCTTGTAAGGTATTGTTACACTTGAATGAAATTGAATGGAATTGGATAGTATTTTCTTGAATCATGAATGAAAGGGTTCGAATAAACTTTGAACACATGTCAACTTGAATCTGGAATAACGATGAACGTCTTTGTAATGCGTATGAACTCCGACTTGAAACAAGACCTCGCAGTCTGTACTTTACCTTCCAAGAAACTCATATGTCCAATACTTAAGGCTCTTTGCCAAATTTAATCCAATCAAACACTTTCGAACATCTTGAACTCAAATCAAACTTCAAATCCAAATCACACTTGCATTCTCAATGAACTCCTAACTTCAATCTTGAACCCAAATCAACTTGAATGACAAATAATTTGAATAGTCAATAAGATCTTGATCCTAAAAAATTCACAACCTTGCCTTTTGTATCATGCCTCATATTCCACGATTCAATCCACAAGTCTCTTATCTTGACAAAGTCCTTCCCTAATTGACGACCTTAAATCATCAAAGATGGATGTAAATGATAATGAAAGAATATGATCAAGATTAATATGAAACCTTATTTCCCCTGATCTTCAATTACTTGAACTTTTATCAATGAATAGAAACCCTGATTTTTAATGAATTTTTTTCTTTTCTGAACCAATATTTCTTTTCCTTTACCATACCATTCTTCAAATGCAACTCGAATTCCCAACACATATTAGATGAAAATTCAAGGGAGACCTTGGTCCCAAAGTTAATTTTTCAAAACTTACTTTAACCGAAGTCAACAGATCTTATCCACATATCTTTGAAATTGGCCCATGATTATGCATCTCAAGGTCTCATAAGAGCTTGTAAGCTCATCAACCAGGTATGCCATGTTGAACAAACCCTGCCTTGAATGCCTTGAACCTTGAATTACCTTGCATGAATTCTTCTATGAGAAACCTACTTCAATCCAAACCTACTCACATCGCAGATAACAAATGACAATGATGAGGACAATGATTGCCTTGGTTAAGGAGAAATCTATGAATTCATATCTTAGGTCATGAACCACGCTTCACAATTCAATCCTCAACCCTTAGCGATCGGTTATTTCAACTTGAGATTAGTGTCATAAGGAACATCTTACAGATGGATGATAAAGTCTGAATCACAGAAGAATTCCCTTGATGTGAAACCCTCACAATCTTGATTCCTCGTTCAGACGTACAGAGAAATATCCGGATAAAACATCTTTGAACCATGATTCAACAAAACCTAATTTGATTAACTGAGGAGTAGACGATTGTCATGTCACAATCATTAATCCTAATCAAATGACAAGCATACTTATAGGAAAGGACGTCATGATTCGAAGCCCACATATGCTAAGTCACGTCCTAGAGTTCTTGACCAGAATGACCTACAATCGGTTGTTTATCAGAAGATAATAGCCTTGCTGCTTGAGGGAGAAGAAGTCCTTTATTGGATATGAGCGCCTTAACCACTATGAAACCCTAGTATCGCACAACCACTGAACTTTGAACCTCAGAGCTATATTGAATGAAATGTATGCCATGTCAGTGACCTAATGAAAAAGATGCAGATGAATGCAAAAGTCTAAGCCAAAATAAAGGAAATTAGGAGGGCAAATTTTGGGGTGCAACAGCTGCCCCTATTTAATCGTCTTCAACCTGAAGGTGAGATTGGCGCCAGCCTTTCGAACTTTCAAGGTGGAAGAAGATTAAATACTTAAAAGGACCCAAAATTTTGCGCTACGGAGTCAGTCAGGTATTATTATTTTTCTTTTTCGGAATCTATTTTTATTATATTATTTTGCTTTTTGGATTACATGGGTTATTGGGGTTAGATGTATGTTTAACCAAAGTTTGATACACAGCAGAATAACTTGGTTATCAAGGAACATCTGTTGGGATTTAGTAACATACACCTGTAAGAAAGGTATCAAAAGATATATGCCTGAAGCCTGTAGTAGACATACGAAAAAAATATCAGAGACACATATCCGGGGTTGGTAGCGGATATACAAGAAAGAGACATCAAAAATACATATCTGTGGTCGGTATCGGACACGTAAGAAAGAGATAGAAAAGATACATATCCGTGGTCGGTATCGGATACGCACAAAAGATATAGAAAAGATACATATCCATGGTCGGTATCAGATACGCACAAGAGAGATATCAAAGATACATATCCGTGGTCGGTATCGGATACGCACAAAAGAGATATCAAAGATACATATCCGTGGTCGGTATCGGATACGCACAAAAGAGATATCAAAGATACATATCCGTGGTCGGTATCGGATACGCACAAAAGAGATATCAAAGATACATATCCGTGGTCGGTATCGGATACGCACAAAAGAGATATCAAAGATACATATCCATGGTCGGTATCGGATATGCACAAAAGAGATATCAAAGATACATATCCGTGATCGGTATCGGATACGCACAAAAGAGACATCAAAGATACATATCCGTGGTCGGTATCGGATACGTACGAAAGAGATATTAAAGATACATATCCGTGGTCGGTATCAGATACGCACAAAAGAGACATCAAAGATACATATCCGTGGTCGGTATCGGATACGTACGAAAGAGACGTCAAAGATACAAGAACATATGTCTGAGGTTGGTAGCAGACATATGAAACAGGTATCGAAAATACATATCCGTGGTTGGTATCGGATACGCACAAAATATATAGACAAGATACATATCCGTGGTCGGTATCGGATACACACAAGAGAGATATCAAAGATACATATCCGTGGTCGATATCGGATACGCACAAAAGAGATATCAAAGATACATATCCATGGTCGGTATCGGATACGCACAAAAGAGATATCAAAGATACATATCCATGGTCGGTATCGGATACGCACAAAAGAGATATCAAAGATACATATCTGTGGTCGGTATCGGATACACACAAGAGAGATATCAAAGATACATATCCGTGGTCGGTATCGGATACGTATGAAAGAGACAGACCGAAGAAAGCTCTTGCAAAGAAACACCAATCAAAGGCGGACTTACTGAGGAAGGAGACCAAACGAATGGGACTCCGGACAAATGATGTCAATCAAAGGTGGATTTAAAAGAAATGACACCATCCGAAGCAGGATTTTGACAAAAGATACCAGCCGAAGCGGGGTTTTGAAAGATACAGGTATGCATGTCTGGTCAGAGTTAGATACACAAGAGCGAAGTTGATCATCAAGAAACAAATGTTTAGAATTGCTAGCGAACACAGGAACGAGACTAACCGAAGAAAGCCCCAATAAAAAGGGCGCATTCGCCTAAATAAGGATGCTAGACAACTAGACTTTGAAGAGACACTGAAAGACTCTTAACATAAAAGATTAGCTAGGCTAACGAAAGGAGGACCCGACTAACGTGGATAAACCAAAACAAGGAACCGACTAAGCATGACCTTCAAAGAGCACCGATCGAATGTGAACTCTGCAAGAGAAAGGGACTGGTCCAAGCAGACTCTAACAAAGAAAAACATGTTAGGCTTTCGATAGGTTGCAAATACGCAAGAACTAAAAAAATCCTTCAGGCCAAAGGCGGGGTGTAATTCTTCAAGAGTGGCAGTCATCTGAATTACCACACACCAAGTATGGACACTCAAATACTTGAGAAATAAGATAGGCTATACGCCGACTCTTACTCGCACTCTAACGGCAAAGCGAACACAGGTAAAATAACCAAAAGCTTGAAAAGGGCAAGTGTAAACCACAATTTACTGGGGAATCCCATATGTATTGAAATTAAACAGAACACCGGTCGAAGGCGGTCTTGTGATCAGAAAAAAAAAAGAGACCAACTGTAGGGACTCTAAACAAGGATTGCCAACATGCGTTGGGCTTTAAAAGTTTTGCAAATACGCAAGAACTACAAAATTCCTCAGGCCAAAGGCGGGGTGTAATTCTTCAAGAGTGGCAATTATCTGAATTACCACACACCAAGTATGGACACTCAAATACTTGAGAAATAAGAAAGGCTATACGCCGACTCTTACTCGCACTCTAACGGCAAAGCAAACACGGGTAAAATAACAAAAGGCTTGCAAAGGCAAGCGCAAACCACAAACTTACTGGGGAGATGGAGGAATACCAAAGACCCGACTGATGGTGAATCAAAACAAACCCCGCTGGGGAAACATAATAGAGTCACCCTTAGGCTTGTTGTGGAGATAAATCAAATCTGAGCGCATAACAATCTGGTTACCACAAGTGGACATAATTGGCTTATACTTATGCATGTTT